TATACATATCTAGCTTTTGTGTCTAGATTGTGTAAATTAATTAATTATTTTCCAAAATCATAATAAAATTTTGATTTCAGACATTAATATACATTTTATCTCTGATTACTTATTTTAAAAAATAAAAAAAAAGTACCTAAAAAATATATATGTATATTCTATAAGAATGAAATGTTAATAATTTATTTAGAATACTCCTATTAATAATTTTTTAATATGATTAGATAATAAGAGTTAGTATAACTGGTTTGTGTGATAAAATAAAATTAACAAGTACTAATCAATTATATAGTATTAGAATAATCTTTGACGAAAAGGTAATATTTTTTGTGTACATTGTTTAAATGAAATTCTTATACATGTTTTATTTTTTTCTACAACATGGTGATTATATTTATTCTTTGTCATAAAACATGAATTAAGGGTGATTAAATATTTCCTAAGGTTAACATATAAAATATTGAATAGTTTAATATTAAATTTGAATTATTTAAAATGTTCCTTCCTTAAATAGTAACATTTCGAAATAAAACAACAAACTAAATAAATATATTTTGATATATATAACTCAAGTAATCATTATCTTGTTTTTATTATCTGGTTATTAAATTATATTAAAATAATAATTAAGGCTAAAACATCTAATATATGTTAATTATTATTATAATTTTAATACTATTTAACTAACAATAAGATGATTTAATACTTAATATCGTTGTATTAATTTTTAAAATTACAAATTTTAATTTTTCTAATGATATAAAACTTACTATTTTATAAATATATTATGACTTAACACTCAATTTTAGTAGAATTATATTGATTAAATTAAATTAAATCTCAACAAACATACTACATTTCTAGATGAATAGAATATTTTTTAATATTTAAATTTTTTATTTAAAGTAATCATAACCAATTAAAATCTTATCTAACTTTTCATTTATCAAACAAAATAATTAAACATTACTTAACTTAATGTATATACTGTTATTATAATTTTAAAGTATAAATTATTATATAAAATAATTGATTATATTACGAAAATTTTCAACATATTAAATTCTTATTAAAATGTCTTTTTATAAATTTCAGTTGTTTTATAATTATTAAACTTTTAAATATTCTATTGCATACGCAAATATTTTCTCATATATATATTGTAACGGCCCCGGAAAATATTAAAAAGAAATGAGTATTTAAATATATAGAATGCGGAAGCGAGATCAAAATTTCAGTTAACATCCCTTACACGAAAAACCCAAAAAAAAAAACGTACTTAAAATATAAAAGGTTAAACTAACTAAGAAAGAAAACTCGAAAATAAACTATGCGTATGACTACAGAGTCTCTAGGCATCCCCTTCGTCGTCCTCCTGCGGAACGGGCTCGGGAACCATGTCTTCCTGATCTGAAATGGTTAATTAAGGAGTGAGCTACACTAGCCCAGTAAGAACATCACGATATCTCACCGTCACGGAGATAAAGGTGGGTAGAAAAACACAAAAAAGACCAATGGAGCATAATTTACAACAAACTCGTTTATTAACATGAAAACCTTTACCATCCACTTACCTTGGTGGAATTTATGAAAACAATATGAGAAAAACAATAACATTATCATAATCATTGAATAATCTAAGCTGTAAAACATAACACTTATCACGCCTCTTGTAATTCAATCATTGTACAACATATCTTTTTCTCATTTACCAACCTACTAGTATCCGTGGGGGTCCATAGGGGTTCCGCTACCCGTTAACCTTTAACATTCATAATCAGTTTCCAGGACCGTCCCCATACCCCGTCCGGTATGGGCGCCAAAACCATAAACCTCAATACCCCGTCCGGTATGAGGGTGAAACGGGCCGTCCCCATACCCCGTCCGGTATGGGCGCCAAAACCATAAACCTCAATACCCCGTCCGGTATGAGGGTGAAACGGGCCGTCCCCATACCCCGTCCGGTATGGGCGCCAAAACCATAAGATCTCCATACCCCGTCCGGCATGTGAGACCACAATCCCGGTAGGGTTCCCTACGGACCCGGTCCGTCCACCATCTCCCAGGATATCTAGTCAGGCTGACCCCATCATACAATTATCAGTCTACACAATGTTTCATTTCCCTTTTCCTCAATAAGCATCATCAATTCACATTTAAACAAGCAAATCGTAATTCATGCCGAACAGACAACATATAGTATCAGTTCTTCAGTCATTCAACCCATAATTAATAAAACAGTAATATATGCATTCGAAACTATAAAATGAACACATCAAACCCCATAATGCATTTAAAGCTGTAAAACAGTGTAAAACATGCCAAATAACAGTAAATCATCAATCACACTAGGCTCGGGCTCCATTAGCAACCTTAAGCAATTTCACACATGCGTTAATTCAAGAAATACCGTTTTATCATTTTGAACTTTAATACCGTGATAGGAAATAGGGTGAGGGGTCCTTACTTGTTTTCGGGATCCGAATACGATTCACAGTGCGCCTGCAGGCTGTCCCTAATTTTCCCTGAATTTTTTCCGAGGAACTGAAACACGCTAACAGTACCTGCACGTGTTCCAAAAAAAAATCCAAATTAGGCCCAGGGCCTCTTTCGGCCCAAATCGCAACTCCGGCAACCGGCAACGGCGCCGCCGCTGGCGGCGGCGAGTCGCCTCGGGTTGGCTGTTTTCGGCCGAATTCGGCCACACTCGCATCGGTCCTTGTCAGAAAACAACCCTAGGGCCCTCGGGGGGCCAAAAAATCACGGAAAAGCGGAGCTTACCGGCGGCGGCGCTCTCGGGTACGACGACCCTCCGGCGAGGTTCGTGTTTTGGTGATTTGGCTTCGGTCAACCTGTAGAGAAAAGAATGGTGATCACGGTGATATAAAAATTGCATCGAACGGAGGCCGGGAAGGGCCTCGTCGGAGGCAAAAACCGAGAGGGGGCGCGGCGGCGCCGCTGGGCTTCGGCCGCGTATTCCGGCCGTTTGGCCGGGATTTCGGCTTCGATTTGGCCATAGGAGGAATCCAGTGGGGAAAAACGAGTCGGGGGTATGAAATTTACCTCGATCGGCGGTCGGAAATTTCCCCGGTGCGGCGGCGAGTGGCGGCGGGTGGCGGCGGTCGGCCTCTGGTTCGTCTTCTCCGGCGAGCGGCTGGCGGCTAGGGTTTTTGGTCTGGTGTGGAGGTTCTATTTATAACCCCTTGCCTTTTGATCACAGCCGTTCATTTCGTTTTAATCTGGGCCGTTCGTTTTTGATTGAATCTGGGCCGCCCGTGCGTTTGAATCTGGGCCGTCCGATCGCGTGATTGATCTGGGCCGTCGGATCGCACCCACGCGGATCGCCAACGTGGCTCCTTTCGGAGTGATGCGATCTTGCCACGTGGCAGGCCCCGGTTGGCCGGGACTGCTGACCGGGCCTGCTGACGTGGCTGCTGACGTGGCCCCCCGTTTTTTTTTTTTTTTTTTTTTTTTTTTCCTTTTTTCCTCCTCCTTTCCGGGCGCTACAACTCTCCCCCCCCATAAAGAAATTTGGTCCCCAAATTTGCCTCATTACTCTTGATCAAACAGATGAGGATATTGGGCCCTAAATTCTGATTCCAGCTCCCAAGTCGCCTCCCTAGGCGTGTGGTTCTGCCACAAGACTTTTACAAATGATATTTCCCGGTTACGGAGTATTCTGCTTTCTCGGTCCGTGATACTGACCGGTACTTCTTCATAAGACAAGTCCTCTCAGAGTGAGAGCGGTTCATGAGCCACGACATGAGAAGGGTCCGGATTGTACTTGCGCAGCATAGACACATGAAACACATTGTGAACCCGGGAGAGCTCAGGGGGCAGTACAAGTCTGTAGGCAGTGGTACCAATCTTGTCTAAGATTTCAAAGGGTCCAATGTATCTGGGGTTTAATTTTCCCCTTCTGCCGAACCTACTAATTCCCTTGAAGGGGGTGACTTTAAGAAACACACGGTCACCTTTCTCAAAGGCCAGGTCTCTCCTCCGGGTATCAGCATAGCTCTTTTGCCTACTCTGAGCTGTCTGGATGTTCTTCTTGATCTTAACTATCTTGGACGTAGTTTCTTCCACTAAATCCGGGCCAAACAATCTTCTATCGCCCACTTCCTCCCAACAAATCGGTGACCTGCACGGACGCCCGTATAGCGCCTCGTATGGGGCCATGCCGATGCTTGCTTGGTAACTGTTGTTGTAGGCAAACTCTATCAGGGGTAGATGGTCGTCCCAATGGCCTCCGGAGTCAAGGACACAAGCTCGGAGCATATCCTCCAGCGTACGGATTGTCCTCTCTGATTGTCCATCGGTTTGGGGGTGGAAGGCAGTACTGAGGGACAGCTTTGTTCCCATAGCTTGCTGGAAACTATTCCAAAACCGAGAAGTGAATCTGGGATCCCTGTCGGATACCACTGTTACTGGGACCCCATGCAGTCTGACTATTTCCCGGACATACATTCTTGCCAACTTGTCCAACGAATCAGTCATTCTGATGGCCAGGAAGTGGGAAGACTTAGTGAGTCGGTCAACAATTACCCATATGGCATCGTGTCCCGATCGTGCCTTGGGTAGTCCCGATACGAAGTCCATGGTGATGTGTTCC